ATGTTTTATAATAACCCTGATTTTTCAAATTATTTTCAGTTTTGTTATTGTCTCAGCACCAGTAGTTGCCACTGTTTTATTTTATCGATGCTTATAAATGTCACAGCAGTAACTTAGTTTACTTATTTATTTTTTTAATATTATTTAAATTGATTTAAAATGAATAATTTCATTATCAGTATCAACTCCGTATTATTCAGAGTCATTATTTTAAAAATACCTAAAAACAAAAAATAGTAATAAATTATTCAAATAAAATAATCAACAATTAATAAAACAAAAATTTATTCAATTCAATTGATTAAATGATAACTAAATCAAAAACAAAAAATAGTAAATTTAATTAAATTAATGAAATAAAAACAAATAAAACAAAAAATAATCATAAATTATAATATTAAATAAAAAAGAATAATAACTTATTAAATTAAATTAATTAAATAAAAATAACTGAAACAAAAAAATAATACATTATAATATTAAATTAATTAAATAAAATTCAATAAAACAAAAAAGAATAATACATTATAATATTAAATTATTTAAACATAAAACAAAAAATAATAATAAATTATTAAATTAAAATAATCAAAAATAAATAAAACAAAAGATGTATTCAGCTCAATTGAGTAAATGATAACTAAATTAAAAAAATTATTTAATTAAATTAATGAAATAAAAACAAATAAAACAAAAAATAATAATAAATTATAATATGAAATAAAAAGAATAATAACATATTAAATTAATTAAATAAAAATAACTAAAACAAAAAAGAATAATACATTATAATATTAAATTATTTAAACATAAAACAAAAAATAATAATAAATTATTAATTTAAATTAATTAAATGAAAATAAATAAAACAAAATAGAATAGTAATCTATAATATTTCATTAATTAAACATAAAACAAAACAGTTAAATTAAATAAAAAATAAATTAACCAAAAAAAACAATAATAAATAATAAATAAAAATTAATTATTAGTAAAATGTAATTTATTGCTGTGGAATTTACTAGCCTCATTAATGAAACCAGCCTGTAGTGCTGTGACAGTAATATCATGACTGTTCATTATCATAATTACACCATGAATCCTGGATTCTGATTGGCCCATGAGCATTCTAAGGTGGGCAGTTATTTGCATATGAATCACTGTTAAAGTATAAGTGGAATAATTGACTCCAGTCCATTGAAATGTTAGGTAATAATGCACAGCCAAAGTGGTGATATGGCCACATCATGATGTGAAATGTGCATTATTTCCTATAATATTAGACTAGATAATCTTCAACACACTAGTATTCAGCTTAAAGTGACATTTAAAGGCTTCACTAGGTAAAGTTAGGGTAATTAGGCAAGTCATTGTATAACAGTGGTTTGTTCTGGAGACAATCCAACACTAATATTGCTGAAGGGGCCAATAATATTGACCTTAAAATGGCTTTAAACAATTAGAAACTGCTTTTATTCTAGCCGAAATAAAACAAATCAGACTAAGAACAAATACTATCAGACACACTGTGAACATTTCCTGAATCTGTTCAACATCATTAGGGAAATATTTAAAAATATAAATATTGCAAAAATAATTTTGCCCTCAACTGTATTTGTGTGTGATCTCTGACATGTGTGTGTGTGTGTGTGTGTGTGTGTCTGCAGACGTTCAACAGCTCTCGGTACTCCTCATGTCCGTCCGCGCGCTGCGTCTTTATCAACTATAACACCGAGGGCTTGTTCCAGAGGAATCTCTTCAATCTGCAGATCTATAACGTTGTGGCGTTTCTGTGGTGTGTGAACTTCGTCATCGCTCTCGGTCACTGCACGCTCGCCGGAGCCTTCGCTTCCTATTACTGGGCCTTCAGTAAACCTGCAGATATCCCAACATTCCCTCTGACACAGTCCTTCATGAGGGCCCTCAGGTCAGACGCCATACACAACAGTGCTGTGTGTCTTCACTTTAGTGAGCAGTAGATATAGGAGTGTGTGAGTTTATAATATGAGAGATTATATAAGTTAATTCATTATGGTAAATTATTATTATGTTATTTTAGTTATCATTTATATTAGATTACAGATTATTTTAGATAACTAAAAATGTGTAAATAATGCGAGTAGATAACTAAAAACTCTACAAATGAAAAATAATAATATTTATTTCAGATTAAACTAAAAAAGTAGAATAATAATAATAATAATAACAATAATAACAGTAACAAGCACGTTCGCCTCACAGCAAGAAGGTCGCTGGGTCGCTGGTTCGAACCTTGGCTCAGTTGGCGTTTCTGTGTGGAGTTTGCATGTTCTCCCTGCCTTCGCGTGGGTTTCCTCCGGGTGCTCCGGTTTCCCCCACAGTCCAAACACATGCGGTACAGGTGAATTGAGTAGGCTAAATTGTCCGTAGTGTATGAGTGTGTGTGTGAATGTTTCCCAGAGATGGGTTGCGGCTGGAAGGGCATCCGCTGCGTAAAAAACTTGCTGGCTAAGTTGGCGGTTCATTCCGCTGTGGCGACCCCGGATTAATAAAGGGACTAAGCCGACAAGAAAATGAATGAATGAATAACAATAACAATAATAATAATAATAATAATAACAATAATAATAATAATAACAATAATAATAATAACAATAACAACAATAATAATAATAATAATAATAATAATAATAATAATAATAATAATAATAACAATAATAATAATAACAATAACTATAATAATAATAATAACTATAATAATAATAATAACAATAATAATAATAATAATAATATTGCTTTATCGAAGTAACCAGTAAAGCATTACTTTAATAAAATTAAATATTAATATTTGAGTTGTATGTAATGTAACGCAAGTTACTTTCTAGTTTAATTAATTAATTAATTAGCTTTTAAAAAATGAATCGCTAAATTAAAACTAACATAGTCATGTTGTGTGTGTGTGTGTGTGTGTGTGTGTGTGTGTGTGTGTGTGTGTGTGTGTGTGTGTCAGGTATCATGTGGGTTCGCTGGCGTTCGGCGCTCTGATTCTCACGCTCGTGCAGATCGTCAGGATCATCCTGGAGTATCTGGACCACAAGTTCAAAGGTCAGACAGTCTCTAACAATCCTGTCAGCTCAAGCTCTTCTAAGAGGATTTAAATAAAAGTTTATTGCACATTTTTAGTATTTTCATATTTTCTGTAATTTAGTTTTATTGTTATTCTTTCTTTATATTTGCTTTTATTCTGTTTTCTTTATAAATATATTAAAGTATCGTGTGTGTGTTTTTAGTTTGTTTTTTGCTTGTATTATTTTACAATTTATTTATTTTTTATTATAGTTGAGTTCTGATATTAGCTAAATGTTTTATTTTTAGCTTCCAATAATAATCCTGCTCTACACTGGGAAACAATTATGTTTAATCTGTTTACTTCTCGTTATATGTGCAGCCAATGATGTACAATAATCTGATGTTTTGCCAGCGCTCAATTTTGGAGATGTACACCTAGCTAAATTTAAATAGTAACAGTTCCTGACTCCAGTAAGCTACAAACACAAATTATGTATCATTGGAAAGAAGACACTTTAAGCTTTACTGTGGTAAAAGGAGGAGTTACATGTTCAAAAATATAAAAAGTTATAAATTATATAAAAAGTTATAAATTATGAAGTCATGAGAGGAAAAAAAGTATTGCGTTCAATATTTGTTTTCCATATAGAAACACGGGAAAACATTAATGTAATGTCCTAGAAAAAATATGACTTGAAAGCCACGTATTTCACGAGTTTATATTTCAAATTTGATGAAGACAGAAATTGAGATTTCTGTAAAATCATTTCTGAGACTACATTGGTGTCCTTCTCTCCCTCACCGTCAGAGGCATTTTCTCAAAACTGACCTTCCCAAACTAAAACATAAACAGATGCTGAATGATTTGGTCTACATTCACAGTTCATGTGTCTCTGGAAAGAAGACACTCTGGGCTTGTTAAATGTTAAAAAAATTGCACCGCACTAAACATTTTATAGGCGAGGCAGTGGTGCAGTAGGTAGTGCTGTTGCCTCACAGCAAGAAGGTCACTGGTTCGAACCTCGGCTCAGTTGGCGTTTCTGTGTGGAGTTTGCATGTTCTCCCTGCCTTCGCATGGGTTTGCTCTGGGTGCTCCGGTTTCCCCCACAGTCCAAAGACATGCGGTACAGGTGAATTGGGTAGGCTAAATTGTCCGTAGTGTATGAGTGTGTGTGTGTTTATGTGTGTGTGGATGTTTCCCAGAGATGGGTTGCGGCTGAAAGGGCATTCGCTGCGTAAAAAACTTGCTGGATAAGTTGGTGGTTCATTCCGCTGTGGCGACCCCGGATTAATAAAGGGACTAAGCCGACAAGAAAATGAATGAATGAATAAACATTTTATTATTTCATAAACAAATATGTAACATGAGTCCTGGAGCAACACAGAAAAGTAATAGGTCAAAAGCTACACATCTCCTGAGGACGTGTCTTGAATTTGATGTAAATATCATGCAAAATGAATTTTCTGGAATTATTTTTCTGAGAATTTTCCTCAAATGTGTGTGTGTCTGTGTGTGTGTGTGTGTGTGTGTGTGTGTGTGTGTGTTCAGCGGCTCAAAACCCGTGCGCACGCTTCCTCATGTGTTGCCTGAAATGCTGCTTCTGGTGTCTGGAAAAATTCATCAAGTTCATCAACAGAAACGCGTACATCATGGTAGATGAGCTCATAATGTTCATGTTTCTCAAATCCTCCTTCAGATGAACACACACTGTCAATAACGCCGCTGTTTCTCTGCTCTGCAGATCGCCATATACGGAAAAAACTTCTGCGTGTCGGCTAAAAACGCCTTCTTCCTGCTGATGAGGAACATCGTACGGTGAGACACGATTATTGATCGCCATTTAATAAGTGTCATCATGTGTGTGTGTGTGTGTATATGTATATTTATGTGTGTGTGTGTGTGTGTGTGTGTGTGTGAGTGTGTATTTGTATATGTATATTTATGTGTGTGT